GCCACTCGGTCGCCTGCACTGAGTAGTATGACCTACAGTTCAAAGACAAAGAAAAAGAGAAAACTGACATCAAACTCTCCCCAAAGTGTAATCAAATATACTCTTGTTCAAAGAAGGAATAAAGATGTGATTTTGCAGCTTTTATGCACCAAGCAAACAATCAGCAGTTTGGAGCTTTTAATCCACATTAAAATAGAAAAAGAAGAAGTTTGGTACGAACACCAGTATCTTAACTGACTTTTATAGGTGCACCGAGAGCCTGCTGACAGGCTGCATCACAGGGTGGTATGGGAACTGCACCAGTCAGAGCCAGACTACAGAGGGTGGTGCAAATAGTGGAGGACATCACTGGTAGCAGTCTCCACACCATCCAGGACATCTACCACAGCCGCTGTCTGCATAAAGCACGCAGCATCATTAAGGATTACACCCACCCAGCACAAGGACTCTTCTGTCTACTACCCTCAGGCAGACGATACAGGAATCTGCCATCGTGTACAAAAATACTCAAAGACAGTTATTATCCACAAGCTGTCCATTACTGAACTCCTAACAATAATACTGAACAATTGACAATAACATTGCACCAAGCCACATCTGTGAAACCTACTGTAATGTTTATTGCTGCTGCACTGTGTGGCTGTATCATGTATGTCACTACCTTACCATCATAATTCAGTTAATCTCAATGTTACTCACTACCTGTGTAATAACCTGTCACACAACCTGTGTAGTTATGTTAGTAATTTGCAATATATATCATGTGAATTTAAGCTTTTATTAGTCAGTGAAATACTTATTCATACAAATTCATCTTACTTGCATGTTATATGTTGTTGTTTACTATACAGTAGTCCCCCGTTTATCGCGGGGGGTTCCATTCTGGTAATTTGTACGCATCCTTTATGATTGTCTATTGTTGTCTTTGTTTTCCACTGTTGTCATCCCTCTTTGTTAAAATTCAGGTCTCTCTTGTAAATGAGTCCCCGAGGCTCAATGGGAACTAACCTGTATGAATGAACTTGAGTGATGAAGCCTTCCGGATCGAAGGCGAAACGTTTCAGCACAAAAAAAAGAAACTGTCCAGATGACCTGACTGAAAAATGTTGGATTGCATACCTGGATTATTGAGCATGGACTTTGTTGTATGAATAAAGGTCGAATTAATAAAACTTTAACTTTATTAGTATAGTAATAGTATAAATAAAGGTTCAATTGTAAAAAAAAATAGCTATTCATATGTAAAATGAATAGCACTTTGAGATTTTTGTTAATGAAAAGTGCGTTACAAATTAAATTCATTATTATTATTATTATTAAAAGGAGAACATAGCCTAACAATTGGTCTTTAATGCTCTGATGGCTGTTTGTTGTTCACAGAAGGCTGAGTGATGAAATAATAGTAGGTGCGATAGTTGAATATGGAGACCCCCGCCCCTGTTTAAAGATGGATGGATTCTCTTCATAAAGGTGGCTTCTTTTACTCTCTCAATTCAGCATTCCTCTGTTATCAATAATATGTATGTAAGAATATCAATAGAATCACTCATCCCCAGGTGAATAGCAAGCAGCGCTCTTATGATCGTTTGTCAGATGGTCCTCCTTTTACATGTCATTACTGGTTCTGGCTAGCAGAAACTTGTTGATGAGTGCTATTTGACTGAGTTTTAGCACCTCCTCAGATTGAAGAAGTCTTCTGAATAAGACAAAACGTTTCAACAAAGAAGAATCTGTTCAGAAGACCTGACTACAAACCCACACACACACATACATACACATATATACATACATACATACATACATACATAGACATATACATACATACATACATACATACATACATACACATATATACACATATACCATACCATACCATACCATAGCAATTTATTTATATAGCACTTAAAACAGCAACAAGGCCAACGAAAGTGCTGTACAAACGAAAACAAACATGCACAGCAGACAGGAAAACATAAAATAAAAATACAGATACAAATAGCAGCAGAAGCTAACTAAAATGGCCAACAGAGTAGAGAACAGACCGGACCAAAACAAATCACACCGTGTTAAAGGCAAGAGAATAGAAGTGGGTCTTCAAGCGAGACTTAAAAACTGAGAGTGTGGGAGCCTGCCGGACACTCAGTGGCAACTCATTCCACAGTCGTGGACCTGCAACAGAGAAAGCCCTGTCACCTCTGAGCTTACGACGGGTTTCTGGGACTGAGAGAAGCATCTGGTCTGCTGACCTCAGAGAGCGCGGTGGGACATATGGCTGCAGAAGATCAGTGAGATAGGATGGGGCGGAACTGTTCAGTGATTTAAAAACATACATGAGAATTTTGAAATGGATCCGAAGGTGAATGGGTAGCCAGTGCAGGGAGGCCAAAACTGGCGTGATGTGCTCTCTATAGCCTGTACCAGTTAAAAATCGGGCTGCAGCATTTTGGACCAGTTGTAGACGAGCAATGGAGGACTGACTGATTCCAAACAGAAGTGAATTGCAGTAATCAAGCCTAGATGTTATGAAGGCGTGGATCACTGTCTCAAGGTTCTTTTTGGAGAGTATAGGCTTCAGCTTAGACAGCCGTCTCAGCTGAAAAAAACAGGATTTGACCATCATGTTTACATGACTGTTGAGTTTTAAGGACGGGTCCATTATCACCCCCAGATTAGTGACCTTTTGTTTCTCTAGCGGGGCTAGAGAGAAAAGGTCAATGTCATGGTTCATGAGTGAGCCACTGGGATGGAACAGCATGACTTCAGACTTCTTCTCATTGAAGCTTAAGAAGTTTAAAGCCATCCAGTCCCGGATTGACTAGGCAGTCAAGAAGAGGCTGAATAGAGCGTGTGCCTCTGTGCCTCAGGGGTAAGTAAATTTGGCAATCATCGGCGTGGAAATGCAATCAACGCAAGGTCTGTTTCCAACAAGACGTTTATCCTCAATGACTTTTTTTAAAGATCAGGAGTTGGATTTTCTGTTCGTCACGGAATCTTGGATTTCTGATGGTGAGTCCAGCGCCTTGGTGGAACTACTACCCCCGGACTGTCTGTGTTTCAATGCCCCGCGGCCATCAGGTCGGCGCGGGGGGGGATTATTAACAGTTTTTAAAGCAAACTTGGCCTGTAAACAGTTGTCCATCCCGGTGTCCCGCGCCAGCTTTGAGCTGAGCGCCTTTGAACTCGGACACTGTCCTACGGTTCTGTGCGCGCTTGTCTATCGTCCACCTCGTTCTAAGGACTTCATAAATGAATTTTCATATACATATATACAAACATACAAACACATATACAGATCCTTCTAAAAAAATTTGCATATTGTGATAAAGGTAATTATTTTCCATAATATAATGATAAAAATTAAACTTTCATATATTTCAGATTCATTGCACACCAACTGAAATATTTCAGGTATTTAATTGTTTTAATACTGATGATTATGTCATACAGCTCATGAAAACCCAAAATGCCTGTCCCAAAAAATTAGCATATCACGAAAAGGTTCTCTAAACAAGCTATAAACCTAACCATCTGAATCAACGACGTAACTCTTAACACCTGCAAAAGATTCATGAGGCTTTTAAAAACTCCCAGCCTTGTTCATTACTCAAAACCGCAATCATGGGTAAGACTGCCGGCCTGACTGCTGTCCAGAAGGCCATCATTGACACCCTCAAGACAGAGGGTAAGACACAGAAAGAAATTGCTGAACGAATAGGCTGTTCCCAGAGTGCTGTATCAAGGCACCTCAGTGGGAAGTCTGTGGGAAGGGAAAAGTGTGGCAGAAAACGCTGCATAATGAGAAGAGGTGACCCTGAGGAGGATTGTGGAGAAGGGCCAATTCCAGACCTTGGGGGACCTGCGGAAGCAGTGGACTGAGTCTGAAGTAGAAACATCCAGAGCCACCGTGCACAGGCGTGTGCAGGAAATGGGCTACAGGTGCCGCATTCCCCAGGTCAAGCCTTTTTTGAACCAGAAACAGCGGCAGAAGCATCTCACCTGGGACTGCAGCTGAGTGGTCCAAAGTTATGTTCTCTGATTACAGTAAATTTTGCATTTCCTTTGGAAATCAAGGTCCCAGAGTCTGGAGGAAGAGAGGAGACACAGAATTCACATTGCTTGAGGTCCAGTGTCAAGTTTCCACAGTCACTGGGGTGTCATGTCATCTGCTGGTGTTGGTCCACTGTGTTTTATCAAGGGCAGGGTCAATGCAGCTAGCTATCAGGAGATTCTGGAGCACTTCATGCTTCCATCTGCTGAAAAGCTTTATGGAGATGAAGATTTAATTTTTCAGCACGACCTGGCACCTGCTCACAGTGCCAAAACCACTGGTAAATGGTTTACTGACCATGGTATTACTGTGCTCAATTGGCCTGCCAACTCTCCTGACCTGAACCCCAGAGAACCTGTGGGATATTGTGAAGAGAAAGTTGAGAGATGCAAGACCCAACACTCTGGATGAGCTTAAGGCCGCTATCGAAGCATCCTGGGCCTCCATAACACCTCAGCAGTGCCACAGGCTGATTGCCTCCATGCCA